CCCCCCGGACGCTATTTTTAGCTCGAAAATCCGGACATGTCCAGGGGAATCCGGACAAATGGTAACCCTATACACCAGTACTTCCAATAGTTAAGCACCTGCACACACAAATATTAACACTTGCATCTGCAAAATCCATTGGTTCCACTTGCACTTGGATAGGTGTTTAGACTATTGAGACTGCTTATGCATGGGTTAAAGTGCACACAGATGTTTGCGCTTGCAAAGTTTAGATGCATACATAGTACATTTTTTACATGTGCACAAGTGGCAGCAGGCCTTTGAAAAAGTGCCCTTTTATTTGACTATGAAACCTAAATGGGTAATGCTCATTTCTGTCTCTTGAAGATTACTCTGAATTGGGAGATCTTCCACCCAGGTCCCCATTAGAACCAGTTTGTGAAGATGGCCCCTTTGGGCCAGTGAAAGAAGACAGGAAACGGACAACTCGGGAGCTTCGAGAACTGTGGCAGAAAGCCATTCTTCAACAGATACTGCTCCTCAGAATGGAAAAAGAAAATCAAAAGTTGCAAGGTTCGTAAAAATTTTGATTAGATCCTATGGAGAACAAATTATGTTCTTGGTTTGTATTGAAGCTTTCGCGGTGAATAGGATCAGGTCTTAACAAAATGTTTTAGAAGCAATATAGATAAGTCAATCTAGCACTGTCTCTCCCAATCCTCTTTATTTATGTATGGTGTTTCCTTCTTTCCTTCATTTACTCTTAATCTTTTACCTATGGCTTATTTACTTTATCTTAATTGCCACTTTATTGTTGGTATTTCATTGGATGTTTTTAGACTGGTGCCTGGAAGTGCTGATAAGAAGCTCAGTGCTGTCCTTCTGAACTGCCTCTTTAGTATATTCTGATGCACAGGTGTTTGTTTAAATATTGGTCATTCACTAAATCCTGTTTAGCCATTCTGGGAGTTAAACAGAGTCCTCAAAGAGCTGGCCTTGTACTTTAAGCTATGGGTGAAATACTGATTACCATGGTGCTGACAATTATGCGCACGTTATGTAGACACTTCATAACATAATAGGAACTGTGTAATATAATGTTAACTGTGCGTTTTGTTTAGGAAGATCAGAAAACAGTTATAAGGTATTAGAAATGAAGATAGAGTAGTAATACTTACGTGCTTTTCATCCTAGTAGAGTTTCTCCCTTCTGCTTAATTGTTTTTTAATCTTTTTATTTTGTCATTTTTAATATACATGAAATTTCCATACAAATATTAACAAATCTTATGCATAACCTGGTTTTGTTACCTTTTTCATAGACCTATTTGTGTATAGTCAACCTCTTATACAAATTCCAAAAGACTGCAACATCTACTTGATCCTGATGCAAAGGGGTCTGTCATTTTTCCATTAAAAGGGTTCCCTATACTTTTCTCCATGATGCTAATGTTGGGGGGACCTGTCCTTTTCCAAAAGTGAGATATGTTATATCTGTCTGCTAGCAGTGTAATTGTGTTATCAGTGGGTCCTTCCCTGAGTCAGTAACCTCCTTTGGACTGTAACCTAAAAGAATCATTATGGGTTCTGTGGGTAACCTAACTTTAGTTATTTTGAAAATTTTATTTGTTGTTTATCCTCTAGAACACTATTAACTTAGGGCATTCCCACCATATATGCAGAAAGGTCACTATTCCCTCACATCATCTCCAGCACTTATGACTCCCTTTTTAATGTATATTTCCTTTAATTTAAATAGACTGAGGTACCACTATTAAAGTATTTTGAAAATGTCTTTAATGGTTACTTAAATAGATGAGGTTTCTGGCCTTCCCATTCATTTCTTTCCCTAGGGTACGTCTACACTTACATCTGGGTCCGGATGTAAGCAATCGATGTTCTGAGTTCGATTTATCGCGTCTGGTTAAGACGCGATAAATCGATCCCGGATCGATCCCGGAAGTGCCCCGGATCAATCCCGGAAGTGCTCGCCTTCGACGCTGGTACTCCAGCTCGGCGAGCGGAGTACGCAGCATCGACGGGGGAGCCTTCCTGACGCGTCTGGACCGTGGTAAGTTCAGACTAAGGTACTTCGAATTCAGCTACGTTATTAACGTAGCTGAATTTGCGTACCTTAGTCCGAAGTGGGGGGGTTAGTGTAGACCAGGCCCTATTCTCCATGTCCTCCATTTTACAGAAAGCCCAAGATTAAACTTTATTTGTTGGCTTGGCCACACCTCTCTGATTTGAGGTGAGATCAGAGGGAGTCCAAAGACCGTTTGGGATTTGGAGGAGGAGGACCTCTTAGCCCTGTCAAAGACACTAATGGTGAGAGTGGCGATGATGATCCTCTGAAGACTTCTGAGGGAGGGAGCACCTGGCACCAAGATTGTGTGTGAGGGTGGACACCCCTCCTTCCCCCCACCCTCGGATAAATCTCTGAGTAAGATGTGTGGAGAGGAAGGGTTGTCTATCAAGGCGGACAAATGTATAGAAAGAGGCCTAGGGTTGTAGGAGCTGCAGTAGTCCTGAATGGAATCCTCTCTCAAAGCTGAGCTAAAGCTCTTGGGAGACAGTGAAACCTGGGTCCAGGTTTCTGTGGTACCTTGAAATCTGAATGGATGATTGAGCTATATGATGTGCACTGTGTTGTATTTCCTTAAGCATCTACTTGTGTTTCTGTACTTGTCTTACCTTTTTTAGAAAGAATCTACATCATTCCATTATTAGCCCTTCTTGTTTTAAGGATCAGGTTGTTGACATTAAAATCAGGTTGACTTAATTTGGTGTCTCACTACAAAGTCAAAATATTGAGACCTAGGGTAAAATTTTCAAAAGTGCTTAAGTCCCATTTTCAGTCTTGACTTGGGGGCAGATTTTTCAAAGGTATATTTAGCTCCTAACTCCCATTGACTTTCAGTGGGAGTTAGGCACCTAAGTGCCATTTGTGCCCTTGAAAAATCAGCCCAAGTCACTTCTGAAAATGGGACTTACGTACCTGAGTCACTTTTAACAATGTTATCCGTTGTCCTAGATAGCTGTGATGGAGTGGTCATTGACTGAGTGATTGCTGATGGATTGGAGTTTAATGGGGGTGGGGTTAAGGAGCTACAAAGCTTGTCCCAACTGTGAAAGTGTCAAGTCTAGCCTGGGAGCTTGGCTTAGGCAAACTCCTGCTCCAATTTCTGAAGTCAGCCTGTAACTGAAGTTAGCTTGGAAGCCTGGCTCAGGCAAAGGCCTGCCCAACACAAAAGATTTGCGCCAGTCTTGAAAGACCTAGCCTAGCCTGGGAGTCTAGTCTTTAAAGATTAGCCCAACCCAGGGAAGGTTGGTTTAGGCAGAGGTCCGTGCCAGTCCTGAAAGATTTTGTGTAATATGGAAGCTCAACTCAGGCAGAGATTTCTAAAACTTCCAGTTGGAACTTTAGCTGGTAGCTGTATTATGCAGTTGCTGTGGGAATTTCTGAACATGTGGGAACCTAAGGTTTTTTCTGTTCTTAGGGGACTTAACGTTAAAAAGTATATTTTTCCTCTTTTTTTTTTAAATACTCCGATGATTTATTTCTTGCCTCTTCCACTTTCAAAGTGAAACCCACATGAAACCCACGGATAACATGTTAAATCACTGTGTGACACTTATATCTATGAAAAGTAAGAAAATAAGCTTAGTCAGATGTTGATCACCACTCTGTCCAGAGAAAATAGACACTAATTACTAAACAACCACAAATACACTAAAAATAGGTATGTCTGAAACTTGTCAATAAATGAAAGAAACAAGTCTTGGGTGTGTGCTATGAATTTCAAAGAAACGGGAGCACATGCATCTTGGAATTGCTTTTTCTTCTTCCTTGCAGGCAGATACATTTCAAGAAGTGTTCTGAGTTGCTGTTATATAAAGGAACCAGCCCATGACACATGTTTTGAAAAGCAGATGAGAACATGCTTTAGCAGGCTTGGCAGCCACATATTCTGGGGTTTTCATCTTTGGGAACTAACAGTAAATATTTTAATATGCAATATAATGTTTCAATAAGCACAAAATACGTTCATTTTGACTACTACTAAATTAAGCAGTAAAAGTGCTAACATTAAATGTGCAGTATAATATTCATTACTTACCATCTTTAGCTCCTGATACATTATTGCACATTTAAATATTTACTGTTGCTGTCCAGGTGTTCTCACTTACTAAGGGTATATCCTACCCTCAGTCTTTGCATACCACTACCATTGACTTTCATGGGCATTCTGTATGTTGAACAGCAAGGTAAAACTATGCTTCCAAATGTTCAAGTACCAGATAATACTGTTAATTGCAAAAGATAAACAAAAAGTGACTAACAGTGAGTTTGCCCATCAGCTCTAATGCAAGCTGCCACTGCGGAGCTTATTTTAAAATTATCTTCAGGTAGGAAAACCAGGGGCCTCCTGGTGGTTGTTGTTTTTTTTTTATATGATATTCCTTTTGACTTGAAGAAAATGTGAACCAGTTGGCTCCTCTATTGAATGGAGTTGCATTTATTTAGAGATATAGAGTTACTTTCTAAGCTGACACATAACTATAATGCTCATTGGTGCTGTAATTCTTTTAATTCAATGTTTAAGCATAGATCAATTTGTAGTAAAAAAGATGTTGGAACATCAGGGTGTAACTTATGACATGTCCTAACAAGAACGTGTAGATAAATCACACTTCAATAGAAGTGTAAGCACAATATGTCTGAATTCGTTTAGCCCGAGAGTGCCTAATTCTTGTCCTACAGAAAGATCAACATGTATAATAATACCCTATTCTAATTTTGCTATAGTAGTTTGGCTCACCTCTAATTACATATTGCATATTTGTTGACCATAACAGTACAGTGCGTCTAAACACTGATCTGAAAGGAGTAGTCCTGGCTAACATAGCAACAGACAATTTTTTTCCCTTCAGTCTGGAGCTCCCTCCCTTTGGTAGGTAGGTGCGCAGACCTACGGGAGAATAAATCACATTATTTGTATGTTATTCTCTGCACAAACCTCCTTTGTCACTAGCACTGCTCACGTTCACTGCAAAAGTCTCATCATTTGAAGGAGGGACATCTCCAGACTGCAGAAATTGAAGAGTGAGGTCACAGGAGGTTAGATTCTTTGAAGCCTTGCTTTCAGCAGTACTGAAGGTAAACAGCCATGATGGCAGTGTGAAGAGGAGAAAAGAGAAGGAGAAGTTAAGGAGTTAGACTTTTTTTTTAATTTGCAGCCAACCATTACAAAAACAAAGGTGCATTGCTTTCTTTTAATCTTTAGGGTTTCTTTTTGTATCCTAGTTTCACTAACTCCTCTCATGGCTTCTCACCAAAAGTCCCCATGTAGATGTGTCCTTTGTTTTGTGGTTGTAATTCCATTCCTGGGCCAACTTTATATGACCCTGGGCAGGCCCTCTCTGAGGTCCAGAGGGGCCCAGGCCACTTCCAGCTTTTGAGGACCCTAGCCATAGTAAAAAAAAGACAACACACGAAAACAAAGTAAGGCATCAAAAAAAGAGTGAGACATAATTTGAATATTTTTTTATTTAACAAATGCTTTTCTGGTCCGATAGGGGTGCACATAAAAACAAGTTGCGAAACTTATCAAATGCCAAAGCATTAACAAATGTCTAAATTTGAGGCCCCCTTTGAGCTTGAGACCCAGGCCAAATGGCCCTCCTGCCCCCCTCCCCCCACATTCCTTTCCTCGGAATCAAATCTCTGGTATATTAAAAGAAAATTCTGGATAAAATTTATGTTTGGGTTTTTTAACCATACCTTTGGCATAGCAGGATGGATATGTGGAACAGACATGCCAAACCCGCAAAAAAAAATGGAGAAATCAGGCTTGTTTTTGGCTTACTTGACTTGTGAGTTGCTTGTTGGCTAGTTTTTGGCTTGTAGCTTGTTGCTTGTTTGGCTTGTTGCTTGTTGTAGCTTGTTGCTTCTGTTTTTTTGATCGGCTCCCGGCAAGCAGGGACGAAGGGGGGAGAGAGAGTCAGGGGTGCACAGAGGGCCTACCACAGTCCCAGACTGCACGCTGGGGGGATCTAGTCACATAGAGTGTTGGGGTTCTTAGGGATTGGCTTGTTTTGGCCTTGTTTTGAAATGGGATTAGCTTGATTTTTGGCTTATTGTGAAAGACGGGGTGCTTATTTACAACGTGAAAGTTGGCAACTGTGATTTGGAAACAGACAAACACGAAAAAAGCGACCTCTTACAAGCATTTTAAATAATAATTTCTAGTTAGAATGCATCATTTCAAATCCTAAAACAAATCAATCTTAAGGACTTTTGAGTATGGAAACATAGAGGTTCTTTATCAGAAAGTTTAGGGTAACAGACAGAGATTAGAAGCATATGGTAAACTATACCACTAATTCTCATGTTAGTTCTTATCATAATTGCAGTCAGTTATCTTGAAGATTAATGTTAAACAATTTCATATTTGACATCATCAAAGGTTTGGGCAGGTCACTTGGAGCTATCTTTATAAAGATACACCTCTACCTCGATATAACGCTGTCCTTGGGAGCCAAAAAATCTTACCGTGTTATAGGTGAAACCAGGTTATATTGAACTTGCTTTGATCCACCGGAGTGCGCAGCCCCGCCCCCCCGGAGCACTGCTTTACCGCTTTATATCCGAATTCGTGTTATATCAGGTCGCGTTATATTGAGGTAGAGGTGTATTTAAGCCCCTAAAGATGCAGTCAGGTACCCAGTGGGATTTACAGATGTACATAAGCAGGTTAGGCACCTAACTCAATGGGAGTTAAGTGCCTAACCCGATTAGGTGTTTTTGTAAGGTGCCTGTCTGCATCTTTAGGCACATGCCTTTGTAAATCTAATCTGTGATGTCCCTGTGACTCGGTTTATCCATCTGGAAAATGGTGGTCATTATAATGATATCCAGTAAGGGTGAAGCATTTTTGTTTTTAATTTTGTAAATTCCTACGTAGTTAACTTGGGAGGAGGAAAAACCACATAGTTGAAACAGAAGTGGGAATTCAGTCTTGTGCCATATGAGTGTAACTGTTTAGTTTGCGTAATCTTCCCTACACAGTCTGAATTCAGTATTCAGTGCTGCAATCTATGCTTCTAAGGCCAGATAGCATTCTAGAAGAGTATATCATACTAGTGTGGGATGTGAAACAAAACAGCTGGATTCACTGGTTACTTTTGCTTGCCTGAGCCCCAGTAAACTAAGTTATAAGATGGGCTCGCTTGCCCTGGAAAACACTGCCGGAATTAAAGTCTCTGCTGATGCCTTTAACTTACTTTCTAGGAAACCTGTTACCTCAAAATGGATTTATAAACAAAAAAAATTTTTAAATACATTTCAAGGATTTAGGTTATTCAGATTAATGAAATGTCATAAAAGGCCTACAAATTGTTTCATTGGGAAACTAAACAGCCCTGATCCTGCAAAAACTCATAATTTAACTCACACAAGTAATTCCACTGAGTTGTTCACATGCATAAAAGCTGGCAGGATCAGGGCCTGAATTGTTATATAATTTAAAGGTGAAAATTTTCTAACTATATCCAATTTACCATTCTTTTCTGACAAATTGAAAAATAGCCCTTGCTTCATATGACCCACAAAAATCAGTGCTTTAAAAACTTCAGTGGCAGTAGTTATATAACAAACTATACCCAGAGCTGTAATGACACAGTCAATAGTGCTGTTACACAAAGTATTTTGGCATGATCAGAGATTCTGTAAATTAATTTTTTTTTAAAGTATTGTTCTCAATATACTAACTACAGCAAATGGGAGAGAGGAAAAACCAGCAAGGAAAACAAGACTTGAATTTGTATAAACAGCTTTAACAATTGAGAGTTAAACTATTAAAAAATTACTTTGTCCTTTTAACTTAGATTGTCTCAACACAGTAATAAATAGGAGTGTTGTTTTGATGAAGTATTATGGTATTAAATCACCAAAGTGACAGTAGTCTTATGATGTATGGTAATATGTCCTCAGAATGACTGTACACTGTAATGCATAGTCACAGCAACTAGGTATTATGCATATATTACACACACATCATTAGAGAGATGGAAACTTTATGACACTACTTTTTAAACATGGTTTCAACTCAGGAGAGCTGCTTGGGATTTAATATGAGTTAATTTTTTTAACACTTTAAATCCTCATTCCTCTTTGGGTATGCCTGCACAGCAATCAAAAGTCTGCAGCTGGCCTGTGCCAGCTGACTCAGGCTAAGGGACTGTTTAATTGCAATGTAGACATTCAGGCTCGGGCTACAGCCCAGGCACTAGGATCCTGCTGACACCACAGTTAGCCCGAGCCCCACAAGCCAGAGCGGGTGTCTACAGTGTAGACATACCCTTTATCTCCTCTTGTCTCTCTCTCATTTCTAGGGTCTCCCCAAGCCTCCCCATGCTCAAAATAGTGCTTCTGCTCACTTTCCCACATGTGCAAAGACTCTGACCATATCACCACCATCCTCCAACAAAATCAACTGACTCCCTGATCCCTTCAAAATCCTGTTAAAAAATGCTATCCCTAAAATTCTCGGTAGACTTGCCACAGACTTTTATTATGGCATGTGCTCTGTTGTAACTGTGTTGTACTCCTAATAAATAGCAGTACTCCTCGATAATTCTGAATCGAAAGGGAGAGTAGCTTACAAAGGGGCAGACTACATTACTTTTATATCTCATATTCAGTTTTGGTCTTGTTTACACTAAATCCTTTTTGTGAAGAGGAAAAAGTTAGACAATTGTGATATCTTGCCTATTTCATTAACCATCTTCAATGTCTCTTTCAGTTTTAAAGATTTTACTAGTTGTGAGGCTCTTCATCTGAGCTGCCATGCAGAATGTATTTTAACAGAATGGCTTCCAACAGAACGGCACAACTAGAACAGTTTAAAACAAAAAAGCATCCTGAAATTCTTACGGTGCTTGTCAAAAGTTCTACATCTTCAGTTATGTAGACAGGCATCAGCGTGGATGTTTGCATGATAAGGCCCTGTGTAAGTGAATCTGTTTGATAGTATTGTACAGTCTTAACTGGTACACTGTTAATATCATTTCTTAGCTTCTGAAAACAATTTGCTGAACAGGCGTCTGAAACTTGATTATGAAGAAATCACTCCGTGCTTGAAAGATGTAACTTTGGTTTGGGAAAAAATGCTGAGTACACCAGGAAGGTCAAAGACAAAAATTGACATGGAAACAATACATTCTGCTGTTGGGCGAGGTAAGCATAGCCTATATTTTTGAAATGGTGGAATTCATGTACAACTTAATGTTAGAAGTCACTCTAATTGTTTTTCTCTACCAATATCAGTTCTCTCTTATCACCTTATTAAATGGGGGTGTTCACAGTGGTCTAAATAAACAATGGACACTGTTCAAATTGATACATTTGAGGTCCACTGCCCCTTAGCTACACATGTGCCACCCCCATTGATTTTAAACCATAGTTGCAACCATGGAGCTGAGTATAAAGTATGTGACATTCACTTTTAATAAACTTCATCCTAAGGGGAAAAGAGATTTGGACAGCAAAATTGTTGAGCCTGTCTATCTATCCACTGTTAGATAGGCAAGTGACACCAGACCAGTTGATTTATAACTCCAAAATACCAGTGTGAGGCTTCAAGTTTCTAACTTAATTCCCGACCATGAAAAAAATGTCCTTAAATTGATTTTAGAAAGAAACTCCACCAAAAAAGAAAAAAACGGGGAGGAAAACATGAGATGAATGGCAAAAAAAAAAAAAAAAAAGGCAGAATTTAACAAATATATATTATACACCAAATCCTAATTCAAAATGAGTTTTTTCTAGTAACTTTTTACTGTTATACTAAATATATTTATCTGCTTGCTTCAACCAGTATGAGTCTTAGTCAATAATAGAATATCTAAATACAAAATATCTTCAATTGTGGAAATGCTGGACTAAATACCTTGTTTATGTGGATGTTGCAGTGTGCACAGCTATAATTGATATGGGAATAATTTATCAACTATTTGCCCTGAAGGGGATTTAATTGATCTATAATGGTGTGTACAGTAGCAATAGATTTATACTGTTGGCCAAAGTCTACTGTCAATTACCTATTCACCCAATTGAAGCTAATGGAATTGCAGGAGCGTAACTGAGAACAGAATCTGGTTCCTTCAGTGAATCCAAAAGCCTGTTTACGCCATTTGATGTGTTTTTATTCAGTAACCAAGTTCAAAACACTGAAAGTAGTTTGTGAAAATACTCCCTTTGTACATTGTGTTGTGGTTTTGCTTCAAATATCAGTTTTGCTCTTAACTTGTTCCTACTGAAGTTTCATTATAAAGTAATGATCTGGAGATAACGATGATCTATTAAAAATACATATCAGAAAAATACTTATTCATTTTAGTTTTTATGTAAGGAAGTACTGTAAAATTGTTCTTGTATATATTTCTTCTAGAGCTAAGCCAATAACAGATTTTTTCAATTCATGGGCAATTCTGAAAAGTCAAGGAAAATTTTTTGTTTTGTTTAACAAAACATCTTTGATTTCAACCTTTCAATGTTTTTTTTTTAATTTAAAATAAAATTAAAAGAAATTTCAAAACACAAAGCTGTTTTGAATAAAAATAATTTTTCTCACAAATATCAAAAATGAAACATTTATGTTTTCCCCCCAATTGAAACAATTGAATGAAATTGACAAAAGTTGTTTTAGTGTAGCAGAATCTGCATTCCTCTCTCCCCCCCCCCCCCCCCCGCCCCCAAAAAAGAAAAAAGTTTTGGTCTGACTTCACTCAGCCCGTATTTGATAATTGAGTTAATTTTGACCTCCTATATTGACCTCTTCCTATGTTTTAAATATTTACCAAAAGAAACAATAAAAACCACAACTCATAGATTACTCTAAAACTGAACCCTTGATTCCAACACATTTAAGATTAGATTGGAATATCCTTATTTGCATTGAGTAGAATCTTATGCTATGAGTAGTCCTATTTACTTCTTAGTGTAAAGTACCTTTACGCATGTTGAATAGTAACACAGCCTGACCCAGTATAATTAGGGCCCTACCAAATTCACAGTCATGAAAAACACATCACAGACCATGAAATCTGGTCTTTTGCCCTATACTATACAGATTACACGGGGAGACCAGTTTTTCTCAAATTGGGGGTCCTGACCTAAAAGGGAGTTGCAGGGAGTTCACAAGGTTATTTTAGGGGGGAATTGCAGTATTGCCACCCTTACTTCTGCACTGCCTTCAGAGCTGGGTAGAGCCAGAGAGCAGCGGCTGTTGGCCAGATGCCCAGCTCTGAAGGCAGTGCCCCACCAGCAGCAGCACAGAAGTAAGGGTGGCAATAGCATACCATGTCATCCTTAATTCTGCGCTGCTGCTGGCGGCAGCTCTGCCTTCAGAGCTGGGATCCCAGCCAGCAGCCACTGTTCTCCAGCTGCCCAGCTCTGAAAGCAACTCTTCATGAGCTGAAAGCCAACAGCAGCACAGAAGTAAGTATAGCAGTTCCGCAACCTGCCCTACAATAACCGTGTGGCCCCCCCACAACTCTTTTTTGGGTCAGGACCCCTACAATTACAACACCATGAAATTTCAGATTTAAATAGCTGAAATCATGAAACTTATGATTTTTAAAATCCTATGACCGTGAAATTGACCAAAATGTACCGTGAATTTGGTAGGGCCCTAGTTATGATAATACTCTGCACTTCTCTATCTACAGATTTCAGTGCATTGCAAGTAATTATGAATTAAGCCTCCCATCACCTATGTGATTTGGGAAAGTAGCATTATCTCCTCTTCCAGATGGGGAAAGTGAGGCTTTAAAACATGGTTACTTGCCCAAGGTCACACAGCAAGCCTGTAGCAGAAGTAGGAATAGGACACATGTCTCCTAACTGTCAGGCCTGTGTTTTAATCTCTAGATGATGTCTGAATTGCACATGCTGGGTGCTTACGGTGTGCATGAATCCTAGTGCACTGTACCTTGTGCCAACCAGAAGGACAACAGTGCAGTTTGCGGTATTAGAAAGTAATCTATATCAATTCCATCAAAAAGCTTTAAGTTGTGTACTTCAGCTTGGAAAGCTGTGGAGAAGACTAGTAACTTCACAGTTTGAAAGTCTTAGGTTGCTTAGAGGCCTATGTGGCTGGTACTTGCGTAAGGAAGCTGGTACAGCAGCTGTTTGTTAATGGTGCTTTTCTCTCGAAATGGATGCATAATGCTAATTTCAGCCTTATGCAGCTGCCAGGCCAACCCCATGACCAGTGTGTTCCTCCCCTGTTAGGATTTTTATGCTTTGGCAGGTGGGGGAAAGAGGGTACATTTTGCAAACCAGATCAACCTGAATTCCAACTAAGTAGGCGTGCTGTATAGCCAGCTTCTATAGTCTTTCGCAGGAATGTTACAGATAATTTCTGTTAGATAGATCTCCCAAGCCTCACTCCTGCTAATACAGTAGAACCTCAGAGTTATGAACACCTCAGGAATGGAGGTTGTTCGTAACTCTGGGGTTCAGAACTCTCAGGTTCTACTGGACTGTTTACTTGAGACATATTGTAACTCTTGTGATTAGAAGAGTAATGTATTTCCCACTCACCCTTATTTTTTTCCCTTTCTTGCAAGGAGTACCACGTCATCACAGGGGTGAGATCTGGAAGTTTTTAGCAGAACAATACCATCTTAAACATCAGTTTCCAAGTAAGCAGCAGCCAAAGGACACTCCCTACAAAGAACTCTTAAAACAATTAACTTCCCAGCAACATGCAATACTTATCGACCTTGGTAAGTCTACAGCAGTATTGTGAAATGAGAACTAAAGTTTCACAACCTTTGGAGCCGGAGAATTCTAACAAAGAAAATAACTAGTAAAAATGTTTCTTGGGTTAATAACAGATTATGGGTGAGAAGTGATTTTAATCTGATATAACTGACAATAATTACTTCAGATTATTAGCAAATCGTTAAATCCATATTTCAAATACAGAAATGTTCTACAATCTCCTCTCATTAGATAGGGCATTAATAAGCACTTTGGTATATGTGATTAATGCAGCTATACTTCAGATATTGACAGGGAGCTGCTAAAGTCAATGGGACAGAAACTGTCAGGGAATCAAATCTGTTTGTAAGAGTTGAGGCTTGTTTAAAAATAGGCGTTTTATTTTGGTAAAACAACTCTCTCTGATGGAAGTTCAAATATCTTGCAAGATATTTATTGAGTCTCACTCAGTTTCTCCTCTAAAATACTGTGTGTCATGCTGTCTGGAGTGGCTCACGACCAGAATGCCAACCTCCGGGCAGACTGTCAAAAAGCAAGGCAGACACCCCACCCGGGGTATGTTCTGTCATTAGATTTCACCAACCCAGAACCAAATGTGAACTCCCAAAGTAATACAATAGTCTTATAGTGGAGTCACAGACAGCTTCCTTCGACACTCCAGGCTATCTTGCCACCCAGGCAAGCTGGACTATGTGATAAATGGTCACTTACACCAAAAATTACAAAATATTCAGTTTACACTGACTCCCAAGAGACCAGTCACTCACCCAGGTCAGTTTGTACCATAGATCTCACACCAAAGACAACGCTATAGAAGTTACTTCCATAGTAAACTAACCAAAGATTTATTAGCTAAGAAAAAGGAATGAGAGTTATTGAGAGGTTAAAGCAGGTAAAAATATATGTACATGTGAGTCACGGTCTGTAATTTCAAAAGGCAGCAGAGATGTAGTACTCTGACCGTTTCCTAAAAGTCTTTAAGGGCTACCCAGAGTAACTCTGGGGATCTCAAACTTCTTGTTCAGTTATTCTGCTCTGTTAGAATCCAGACCAGTGGTTCTCAACTTATCTATCGTGGCCCACAATGTGTTACCTGGGCCGCAGGGACCGGGTGGCATGGCAGCGGCAGCCCTGCCCCCGACCCCCGCCGTGCAGGGCCAGCCAGCTGCCCACATGCCCAGCCCCCTGGGCACCAGACTCCTGTGGCACGTCTGCCCTGGAGCTTGCGGGGCCGGGCGGTTGCGCCTGACCCCATGGGGCCGGCCGGAAGCCCCAGACACCCACTGCGCGGCTGCCCCGGAGTTCACGGAGCCAGGCTGCAGTCCTGAACCCCACTGTGCTGGGTAACCGTGAACCTGGACCCCACCCCAGGACCCGCAGCTGTGTGCTAATTGGGCCACTGGTTGAGAACCACTGATCCGGACACTCCAGATATGAAGGATTTTTTCTTGTGTCCGATTTATAGCTTATTCTCACAGAAACCAAACTGACAGTCCCCACACAGGTCCCTTCTTCACGTGGAGGGCGAATGCGCTTAAAGTCTTTGATCTTTGATTCCATACCATGGCTCATTTGCATTTAATGAACAGAATTTAACATTTTCTTGTCAGACCACCATCATTTTCATTACACAATGTTTTTTTCCTGTTTGATGAGTTACATAGTTACAGAGGTTTACAATGCAAATGATTGCTTTCTCTTTACAACATGTGATATAGCTGAGTGAGAACAATACCATGCAGCATCCTACAAGCATTTCAGAAAACACTGAACACATTCTTATCAACATAACATTTAACATTTATTTTGATAATGCTAACACACAGGTAAGGAAGACTGGTTTCCAGCTATGAATTTTAAGTGTTCAGTGAGGCCTGAGGCCTTGGCATGAGCTGGCATCTGGTCTGCCAGTGTCACACTATGGTCAAGGTTTTTAAAAAGAGGAGCCTAGATTAGGTTCTTAAATTCATATCTAGGCATCTGAACAAGCAGCCTGACTTTCAAAGGTGCTGAGCACTCAGCAGTTGCCCTTGGGTTTCATAGGGAGCTATTGAATGTTCAGCACCCTTGTTAGTCAAGCCAGTTACTATGGATTTAGGAGTCTTAACCTTAGGCAAACATTTTAGAAAATCTTTGCCTGTACCCACCTTCCATTTCATTCTTGTATCTCATTTAAAGCTTGTCAGGGTGTTCATAATATCAGGATGAAATACAAGATACTAAGACTAAATTGTGTGAAACTGTTGTTTTAGGGTGGGGTCAAGGAGGAGTGATTTGAGCTAATTTTATTAAGAGTGAGAGGGAGTTAAAGGTGACAGTCTTTGGCCACCCAAAAGACATTATTTCATACTGTGACAGACCCAGACCATTGGGGTACAGGAGTCTGGTAGAGGGCAAATATACTGGTCACTGGATGAGTAGTTTTCTGTTCCCTGAGTGACCAGAGCAGGGGCTGCACTAGAGTAATCAGGAACCTGCTAGAACCAGTTAAGGCAGGCAGGCTAATTAGGACACCTGGAGCCAATTAAGAAGAAACTGCTGGAATCAATTAAGGCAGGCTAATCAGGGCACCTGGGCTTTAAAAAGGAGCTCACTTCAGTTTGTGGTGCGAGTGTGAGGAGCTGGGAGCAAGAGGCGCAAGGAGCTGAGAGTCAGAGGGTGTGCTGCTGGAGGACTGAGGAGCACAAGCGTTATCAGACACCAGGAGGAAGGTCCTGTGGTGAGACTAAGGAAGGTGTTTGGAGGAGGCCATGGGGAAGTAGCCCAGGGAGTTGTAGCTGTCATGCAGCTGTTACAGGAGGCACTATAGACAGCTGCAGTCCACAGGGCCCTGGGCTGGAACCCGGAGTAGAGGGCGGGCCTGGGTTCCCCCCAAACCTCCCAATTGACCTGGACTGTGGGTTCTTCCAGAGGGGAAGGTCTCTGGGCTGTTCCCCAACCCACATGGTGAATCTCTGAGGCAAGAAAATCCACCAATAAGCGCAGGACCCACCAAGATAGAGGAGGAACTTTGTCACAATACATATCAGTTCATTTTCCTTTTCCTTTTCTCTGTCCTTGTCAGCATTACTTCTCTCTCTCAAATTGCCAAAATATAACAGTTCTGCCCCAAAACACAAAAGAGGACTAAGCTCAAAAGACTTTGAATCCTAAAAGCATGTATTCTTTAAGATGTGGATCCCTATTGAACACTATTATGTCGGCGCATTGCCAAGACTGACCTCTTAAGAGCTGTGACCAGCAGCGATGCTCTTCTCCGGCCAGCATACCAGCCATGTTCACTCATTTTCTTTCACAAACTTTGTTAGTCTGCTTTCTTGTCCTCTCCTGGTATTTTCTATTGCAGTCTTTCTCCTCTTTCAACGATAGTTCCCTACCAACTCCAGCCTCTCCTCCCCACTGGCAGTATATACCTTCCACCCAAAAGAGATTTGTTTTTTCCGTTCCGAGATAGGTTTCCCTTGACTGTCCCTACCTTCCATGATCCCAGCCACAGGCTTATCCTTACCGTTAGCTGTCTTTCCTCATTGGAACCCAGATATCTTGAGGCATCTACTACTCTTGGAGGAATTCTGTGCCTCTTTGCATGCACAGAATTCATGTCCCCTACAGACTACTCTCCCCTCCCCCTGCAGAAAATACGTTTTGCCAGGAAGGTGCTGCAATTACACCTTTCGCCCATCAGGGGCTGCTGTGGCACCAGAAGAGAGGGCAGCCAGCTAAGCCAACCGTGGAGGGCAGCCAGCTAAGCCAACCGTGGAGAGGAAGGGGGAGAGGCTGCCTTACTCACAGCTCCTTGCCCGGGAGCCAAGTAAAGATGTACGGGATATAAGGGGGATGGATCGAGCAGGGCATGAGGAGCTGCTGGGGGTGGGGGGGGGTCACGTAGACTAGTGGAGGGGCTAGTGGTGGGAACAGATGGGGTGGGGTCACAGGAGCTAGTGGGGTGACAGCATTGAGCTAGGGGCTCAATGGGAGTGGGGGTGCAGGGCCACATGGGGCTGCGGGGACCAGGGGGTGCAGAGACATATGGGGACAGGAGAGGATGGTTGGCGGAGTGGGGGTGCAGGATACATGGGGATGGGGGACCACAGGTAGCTGAGTGGGGGTGCAGGGACAATTGGGGCTGGAGGGAGACGGGTTGGCTATGTGGGGATGCAGGGACACGTGAGGATGGGGGGAGGAGCGGTGGCCGAGTGGGGATGCAGGGACACATGGGAGGGTGCAGGGACATACAAGGACAGATGTGCTTGACTAAATGGGAGAGGCTAGGGGTCAGCCAGGGTCTGCACGGGGGAGGCTTCCCAACTCCCTAACAGTCCCTCCCCCACAAAAAACCCTCTGTTGCATACTTTTCCCACGCGCACCCAACAGCTTTCCAAGATCACACCCAGGCTCCTTCTCAGCAATTACGTCCCTCAGCTCCTCTGTTACCCCCCCCCTTCCCCCAGCCTTTGCACTGCTTTTGAGGGGTGCAGGGAATACGTTTCTGTATTGTAGTTTAAATTAATTTGCATTCAGAGTTCAGTGTTACTATGCCTAGTAAGGAATCTGTTTGTCAAAAAACATTTCCTGAATCTTTTTTGTTGTCTGTATTGTTACAGGAATACTTGCTGACAGATATTCTAAAATAAATTACAATATAATCAGGCCAGTTTCAATTATTTTGGTATTATTTTAACAAATAAAATATGCAGAATTTTGAAATATTGTGCACAGAATTTTTTGGCACGGAATTCCCCCAGGAGTAATCTGCTAGGGGCTGAAGGGCAATTAAAATGTTGCCTACATAGCCATAATTACTTGGTATGTTGTGGCCTGTAGCCCTGTTGAAAACATTAGAATTCAAATAAATATTCTCTTTTTTCCTCCTAGATATTGTTTTAATGCAGTGTACAGTCTCAAACACAAACATTTAATCTATTTTTCTAAGAAGACTCCAACTATTCCTCGGTTGTAATCCCTGATTAACTCTAAGACTAAAGACCATGCATTGAATTCT